TCTCAATCTCTTCACCATCCATCCTGATGCTGCCAGTTGGTCCAGTGGTGAGAATCTTTGTCTTCTTGACATTGAGCCTCAATCCATATTGAAGGCTCTAGTCCTTGACCTGCTGCAGTAAGCGCTTCAGGTCCTCCTCAGTTTCAGCAAGCACGGTTGTGTCATCTTCATAATGCAGATTGTTGATAGATCTTCCACCAATCCTGACCCCACATTTCTCCTCATAGAGCCCAGCCTCTCAGATAATCTGTTCTGCATGTAGGTTGAAAAGGTATGGAGACAGGACACATTCCTGGCGCACTCCCTTCCCAACTTTGAACCATGCAGAAATATGAACAGTAATAAATCTAGTAAATCACAACTCCTTGTGACATGGTAGGATAAAGTAGAACTGTCCGTAGGGTTTCAGAGGCTCTAAGTCTTTATGTGAACAGACTGCCTGAGGCTGATGGGTTAGACTACAGACCTTTACATTAGCAGCCATTTGCTTTTAACCTTTTTATTTCCAGGGTGCCTGTATTGATAATAACCTGGGAAAATGTACTCTTTCAAAACGTGTGTTTTCGGTAAAGATGAAAAAAAAAAATACACAGTATGTGATGGAGTAGGTGAGAGATGTCAGTAGGACCTTTGTAATGGAAATGGATAAATTGGTTATGGGGTAAATGGAAAATAGAAAACAGGTATAGTCAAGAGAAAAACCATGGATGTTATACCTTAATGTTTGGTTTTGCCAGAATAGCTTGTTATTCAGAGAAGTTACTGTTTGTGAGTTACATTAAAACAAACAAAAAAACAATTACTGATTTTTCTTTAATTTACTGATTTTCTTTCTTTCTCTCTGGTTACAGAAGTGGTACATGTACCCTTTAGAATATTTACGGGAATATCATAGATGTAAAGAAAAGATAGTTACTCCCTATTATCCTATTATGATTAATGTGTAATTATTTATTCTGTTAGACTTTGATGTGCAGTTTGGTTTTTTTTACATTTTATTTTTATTTATTTATTTTTTAATAATTTTAATGAACATTTACAGAGATTT